AGGGACGCACTCAGTACGAGCAAGGTGTACCCGCATATGCAAGCGCGGGGAAGACGCGCCAGCGCTGAGGCGGTTACTCCGCGTGTGAAGGAAGTGACGTGGGGGAAAGGAGCATGCAAGGTGTACCTGGCCCACAACATAGTGGGATCCAGGTAGGTCAACACGTGGGGAGCAACATGCAAGGCGTTCCCCGCCCACGTAGCATGCACGGAAGGGGTCAACGAGGGGGCAGTTGGAAGGAACGTGGACCAGAGGGAGAATAATTGGGCAGGCCATACCAAGCGAGCACGGAGATCCACTGCGACTGTTGAAAAGCTTCTTTCATTAAACTGAGCGAGTGGCGGGCGTGGAACAACTGTTCTTTTGCCGCTGTCAATGAGAACAGCCATAGCCTTCTTCCTGTTTACCACCTGTCTGCTGTGCGAAGAGGCATGTTCACTTACCGCTGTCGAAGAGAGCAATCATAGCCTTCTCCCTGCTTAACGCCTGTCTGTTGTGCGAAGATACATGTTCATTTACCACTGTACACGAGAAGTTCTCGAACAACCATTGCCTTTCCGCTGAAACCGCCTGTCTGGTGTGTGAGGAGCCAGGTTCACCTACCGCTGTCGATGAGAACAGCCATAGTCCCTCTGCTGATTACCGCCTGTCTGCGGTATGAAGAGTCACGTTCACTAGTCATATCATTTTTGTTGCCTGCTGCATGTCTGCGGGGTGAAGAACCATGTTCATTCCTCCTCTCCTTGGGGGAAGGGATCGATCATTTTCGTTGATTGACAGGAGCAGCCACTTTCGCTGAATGGATGGCCAAACACTCTTGCTGCTGATCTGGGACCTTCAATTGTTGAGAAGATCAGCCGCTCTCGCCCCGGGCCAGACCAGTTGCGTTTCAGGTCAGTGTGATTTCGCTTGGAGACGGATGACGCATAAACAGTGCTGGGAGGACCAACGCATGTAAGGCATTAAGGATTGACCTGGAGTGAGAGAGAGAGAGTGTGTGGCGAGAGAGAGGGGGTGTGCGGAGAGACTGAGAGAGAGAGTGAGAGGATCAGATTGCGCAGCGTGCTCGAGAGAGAGAGAGAGAGACAGGGGACTGAGGAAAAGTGAGAGAGCAGA